CCCCCCGCTGCGGGGAGAGGCTGAGCAAGGGGGCTGCGGGCCCCGCTGCAGCAGGGGTGCCCCGGCTGGGCGGGGCGCTCTAGCAAGGGGCTGCTCCAAGGGACCCGAGCTTTCTGGAACCTCCCCCCAGCTCCAGGGACTGAGTTTGGGGGGGACTCCAGTGGGAGGTGCTGGCTGAGCAAAGGGGGCCAAGGCAGCGTGCCCGAGGAACACCCCGGGATGGTCCCTGGCGCTGCCTGTGGCCTGGGGGAAGAGCCTGGGGCACCGTGTGCAGAGCGGAATCGGGCAGGCTGCCAAGGGGCAGGGATGTTCATGGGTAACTGGTAAACCTCTCCCTGAATGGATGAGGCTTACCAGTTACTGATGGGGGCTGGAGCAGCCTCTCACCCACCCCAGACAGCTGCCCTCCGCAGGGGGAAGGAAAGTGCCAGCCCTTCCCCCCTCTGCTCGCCCCTGTTTAATTGGTTAACATTAGTTAAACTTAATTAACATTAACATAACTTAATGTTTAACTGGTTCACTAATTACATGGGATTTTACATCCCTAACGAGGGGCTCTCACCAAGTAGATGACAGGGGCTGGGGGTCAGGCTTACCCGGTTCTGTACTAAGGATGTCAACGGTTAACCAGTTATTGGTGAGCATCACCTGGTGAGGGTAACCGGTTAACTGGCTGCAGGCAGGGGAGGCTGCTCCGGCGGCCTGCACTCACAACGTGACACAGCGGGCTGGTTAACCGGTTAAACATATAGTTTAACCAGTTCACATTTTAAACAGGATTTTACATCCCTATTCTGTACCTGCCTCTGCTGGGTGACCCGGGGCCTGGGTGCCCATTTCCCAATCTGTAAAATGGAGATAATGGGAGAGAGGGCAGGAAAGCACTTTGAGATCCTCCGATGCCAGGCACGTGGAGAGCACCCGGTCAGAGGGGCCGATGGAGCAGCGGTGGCACCCTCAACAGCGGGTGGGTTTGGCTGTTGTCAGTCTCTGTCCAAGCCCCCCGTGGAGCAGCGGGTTTGATTTGGAGTCAGGCCGAGCTGCCCTGAGGCAGAAATGCGCTTGCAGGTCGCCATGATGCAAGGGGACGTGGAAAGGCTGCTGATCCAGTTCAAAGATGAGGCTGGCGAGATCCTGGGGTCGCCCTTTGACGTGCCCGTCGATATCACGCCGGAGAAGCTGCAGCTGGTCTGCAACGCTCTCCTCCAGAAGGTACTTCCCGCCAGCAACGCCCCCACGGCCTGCTGCTCTCATGGGGGGGCTGCAAACGGCTGGCATGTGGGGGGCTCCTGCCAGCCGCCTGGGGGGGTGGGCACAGAGCAATGGGGCTTTTCTCGGCAGTGCTGGGCGTGACGTGTGGAACTGTCTGGGCTACAGGGCTGCTTACCCAGCAGAATCCAGCCGGGGGGTCTGGGCTCACTGTCGGACTGTAGCAAGAAGGCAAGAGATTAGCTATGGGATCTCGTATAAAGGCCATTCGTAGCACGGCCTGGGCCTGCCGCACCAGGGACTCCAGCCCTTTGGCCCCCAGTTACCCAGGGATAGGCACAAAGAGGGGCTCTGTACAGGGAGGGTCTTTCCGATCTACCCCGGGCAGATTTGTCAGCTGTTGCCTTGATGCTGAGTGAGTGCATCTCCCCAGCCTAGTGCTGCCCTGGGGAGGGAGGAACGGGAAGTGCTCGGGGCCCCGAACTGTTTTCCTGTCGGGGTGGAGGTAAACCGGGGCCATATGAGCCTCAATTTGCCCCCGGCTAGTGCCTTTGCCTCTTGCCTTCCAGGAAGAGCCGCTGCCCTTGGCCTTCTACGTCCACGATGCTGAGATTGTCACGTCGTTGGAGAAGACGCTGGTGGGGCAGGCAGTGGAGACGGAGAGAGTCCTCGACATCGTCTACCAGCCGCAGGCCGTGTTCCGAGTGCGGGCGGTGACGCGCTGCACCAGCTCCCTGGAGGGCCACACCGAGGCTGTCATCTCCGTCGCCTTCAGCCCCACTGGAAAGTAAGGAGGGGGGGTGGATGGCCGGAGAAGGGGGCTGCCAAAGGCGAGATCCCCGGTTACAGGGAGACAGGCTGTGTTGAGGGGAGGGGGGAGCGGACCTGCCACCCTGAGCCCAGGCAGCCTGTTCCTCACCATCTCAGGTACCTGGCCAGCGGCTCCGGCGACACCACCGTGCGCTTCTGGGACCTCAGCACGGAGACGCCGCACTTCACAGCCAAAGGTGGGTGCAGCGGGGGAGGGGGAGGCCCGGTGGGGTGTTCTGACTCGCTGGGCGGCAGCGGGTGACCCCCGGCTCCCTGAGCTCGTGCTGCACGTGCCGGGGAACCGAGACAGGCAGGAGGGTCTCGCCACGCGCCCAGCTCGGGGGCCTTTTCGGCGAGGCCTGAGGGGCAGTGGCTGGGGCGACCCCCGTGTCTGCTGGGGCAGAGCGACCGGACCCACAGCACGTTGCAGGCGGGGCCAGGGCGTGAGGGGCCCGTTGCACAGCGAGCACCACGTGGGCTGCCCAGCCATTCCCCGGCCTGTGGGGAGGCATCTCTGGAAGTGCCTGGCAAGAAGGGCACCTGCCTGTGGCTGGGGGGGGACCAGTCGGACAGGCTGGGACAAGCGCAGGGGAGTCCTGCCCCCCCCCCAGCCTCAGCTGCCCCTCGGGGGCAGGGACACCCCACAGTGGAGGGCTGTCCTCACTAGGGCAAATGCGCTTATCCTTGTGAGCGTGTAAGGGGCGGATTTTTCCCCGGGGCGGGGGAGGCGACAGGTGACTCCGGAGGATCCGGTGCTCGCGGGAAGCTGGCTTTTAAGCGCTGCCTCCTGAGCCCAGGCAGCTTGTTCCTTGAAGCCAGCTCCCTGCATGTACCGGCTCCCACCTGCCCCCACCCCCTGCGCCTCTGTGATTGGCAGCGGGGGGGTGGGATGACTCCATGGGAGCCGGCTTAAAAGCTGGCTCCCCATGCGCACCGGCTCCCGCCTCCCCCTCTGCTGCCTCTGATGAGAGGCAGCAGCACGAGGGGGCAGGTAACTGAGGGTAATCGATGAGCCCAAGCCCACGTTCACCCCCCTAGTCCTCACCCCTGGTCTCTCCCCCGTCGCCAGGTCACAGGCACTGGGTCCTCAGCATCGCCTGGTCCCCCGATGGCAGGAAGCTGGCTTCAGGGTGCAAAAACAATCAGGTACGTTGCGGCAGAGGCACAGAACGGCCTGGGCTGGGCCTTTTGGGGGGAGCTCTTGATTGGGGGGCTGGTGACTTGTGGGAACAGGCCTTGGGAGGTAGTTCCTCACCGAGAACAGCAGTGGGACACGCCTGGGCCCCTGGCTAGACATCCCTCCCCCACCCTGCCTGGGGCGCGTGGGTCTAGAGGATGTTGCCACTCCTGAGAGGTTGGCTTGTTTCGGAGCCTCAGGCTGAGCTGTCCCTGCTGGACACGGGGGTTCAGGGCCTGCCAGTCCCCCCGTAAGGAGCGTCTCTCCTAGCTGCTGCCCGTGTGTGGTAGCTGTTCTGAGCAGCTGGGCGGAGATGTGGGCTCTGCCCTCCTGCATCCTCCCTGTGTGTCCTTGGGCAGGTTCCTTCCTCTCGCTGGACCTCAGTTTCCCATCTGTAAAATGGGGAGAAGGATCCTTCTTTCCCTTCTCAGGTCTCTTGCTGTGTGCGCTCACAGCGCCTAGTGCATCCATGCCCCAGTCTCAGCGGGCAGCTCTCGGCCTGGCTGGAGCGCTACTCACTACCCTGACTCATAACCCAGCCACTGGCATGCATGGGACAGCAACAGCCTCTGTGCTGAGTGTGGGGGGGTGGAGCACCTGCTAAGAGAGGGACTGACCGCCCCTGGGTTCTGTGTGGGGAAAGGAGACTAGGGGAGCGGGGGCTGCCTGGCTTCCCCTCCGCCCGCAGATGGCCCATTTACACTATTAACTCCTTGTCAGCTGGATGCCGGGCGTCTGCAGTAAGAGAGCACCCCGGAGGGGAGGCAAAGCTCTGGGTTAAACTCACCCCATGAGCTGTTCTGCTCTGGTCTCTGGCTTCTCCACGAGCAGATGATGAATGTCTCTGCTCCTTGGACGAGCATTTATCGGAAGAACCACTGTGTACTGGGGAGCCGGCTGCCACCCTGTGCTGCAGGCTGTGCATCCGAGCCCATAGTGCGGGCCGGCAGCCGGCTCTCTGGGAGCAGGGCTGGGAGCTGGCTTAAAAACCGGCTTCTGGTGTGCACCAGCTCCTAGGGAGCCGGCTGCTGCCCCGCACTCCAGGCTCTGCCCTATAGAGCTTGTACTGCAGAGCCCACAGCCTGTAACAGCTGAGATTTTCAGTTCTGCCGTTACCAAAGCAACGGCTTTTTAATGTCCCTACCTGGCACCAGGTGTAGCAGCTGGCGCTGGCTTTCGGAAGGAGCTGGCTGTTGGCTGGTTGTTTTGCAGCAAGGTGAGCTAAGGGGGTGAAGAGAAAGCTCTCCTCAAGGTGTCACCTGGGTGCAGCAAAGGCCAGGCAAGGAATCCACCCGTCCCCACTTCATCCCCTGCCCGTGCCTAGAGTAGCTGAACCGGAAGGGCAGACCCACCTTTTCCAAAGGAGCGTGACTTTCCTTGGGACACGGGGGGGTGGGGTCTGTGGTCTAGCCCGCTCGCTGGCTCTGTTGTACAGATATTTCTCTGGGACCCGGAGACGGGGAATCAGATGGGCAGAGTGCTCGCCGGACACTCCAAATGGATCACATGGCTGTGCTGGGAACCGCTCCACCTGTAAGTGACTCTCTGGCCCCTTCCCCCCCGCCTTGGCGATGGCCCTGCCTGCTGTGGCCAGGCTCCCCTTGCAATGGACGACATGAGGCTGAGAAGCAGCCAGTAGGTGTCAGTGAATTGGGTAGCAGGAGATGCAGGTTCTAATCCCACCGCAGCCACCAGCCTACAAGGCAGCCCGGGTCTTGGCACTGTTCTGTTGGGCCTCAGCTTCTGCTGTTGTATAATGGGGATAATGGTGCCAGTCCCAATGAATGTAAGGCTGGGTATGTATCCATAGTCATTGTGTTAGGTTTTCAAAGCCCTGTGCTGATTTTCTCTGTGCCCTGCTGCTGGGAGGCGAGTCTGGTGCTGCCTCCATCTTACAGGGTAGAGCAGGTGAAGCTGGAATGGGCTAACCCAGTGCTGCCCAGAGAGGAGGAGTTAGAGCTGGGATTAGCTCCCTGTCCTGTGTGCCGATCACTAGCGCGCCCGATCTCCAAAGCAGAGTCCCCCAGCGAAAGAGGGGCCTAGGGAAAGGTGGCGGGGGGTGACCAAGACTGCTAGTGTCTCCCTGTGCCGGCTGCCCAGAGTGTAACGTGCAGCCCGACATGCTCCTCCCCAGCTCACCTAAGCCAGGGGGAAGCTGCGGTTCACAGGGCGTTCGTTCCTCATGCAGCCCTGCCCGGGATGACTGCTCTGCCCGTGCCCCCTGCCTCCGCCATCTGGTGTCTTTGCCCTGCAGGCTGCTTCACTGCACAGGCTCTGTAGCCCCATCGGGCTCGACAGGAGGGGGCTGGAGATGATGATCGCGGAGGTTCTAAGTATTAAAACTAGTCCCTATGAAGCAGAGCCCGGCCCATTGAATTCCCTGGTAGGAAATTCCGGTTTGGAAACAATTAATTGGAAAAGAGGAGCAGGGGAGGAGCTGGCCACTCCTGCCCGTGCTCTGGGGAACTCAGGATCAGCGTTCCCTGTAAGCTGAGCATTTGGGCGGGCACCCAGGAGAGAGTCAAATGCCGCCCCGCAGATTAGCAGAGCTCCCATAGCAAGCAGCCTGTGTTTCTACCGGTGGTGCACATCCACACATGCCTTGGTGCACAGAACAAAATGTATTCTGCACATGGGTGGAAAAAAATCACACACCGCTTAGGATCTGTCTCTCCAGCTGGCCAGGCTCCTCACGCCATGCCTGCAGAAAGGGGAGCTGCATTGAACTGCCCTGCCCCGCAGCCTCTGCCTTTCCTCCCCTTGACCAGTGCGAGCTGCGAGCATGTGGCAGGCTTGGTGCCATCTCTTAACTGGCCCTCAGGCAGGGTTGGGCCAAGGGGTAACTCTTCCCTTTAGAGCCTGGGGGATGTTCCTCCCTCTGACCCCCAGTTTTCTGTCACCTGCGTGCCTGGCCACGCCTCCCGCCACCCCCGGCAAATCGGTGCAATATCCAGCTGCCAGGGGGATTTCACTGGGCAGAGCCCCGGGGGGAGGGGCGAGTATTTGGCCTTGGATGGTGGTCGCCAGGGGCTGATGCAAGTGCTGGGAAACCCGTGGGGGATGCCCAGCGTCCAGCTGGGAGCCATTGCCAGGAATTTACGTTTCCTCTGCAAAGGGGCCCCGAGCATCTCGCCAGGCTGAGAACTGCTGGGGGGGGCGCAGTGCGCCCCCCCCCT